GCACACAGCATCTGGTTGGCGGCGTATACGACGGGATAGATATCTGGTGAGACTGAGACTAAAGAGAAAGAGAGAGATGAGCAGAAACGCGAGCAGAGAAGGAGTTAAGAAGGACAAAGAAACTAAGTTGAGACATTGTGGTAAAAAGTTGCAGTATTTTCTCCATCCCCCTGTGCCCAACTCCGTCTGCTCTAAAGGTCATCATGTAAAGGTTACTGCTATAAATCCACCGCCACGTCTTATAGATGGGCCGGAAAACTTCTACAACAAAGCTCCGCTCACTGCTTCTCCTGTTCTTAATAAGCCACCAGACTTTAGGAGTTTGCCTTTGATTTTTCCACTGTTGCTTGGTCTTTTCGTGTGTTGCTCCATCTTTAACCTTGCAATTTTCCTTTTTCTTTGAGCTAGCTCTTTATAAAACAATGAGAGCTATTCCATTAAGTGCCGAGGGTTGAGAGGACACTCTCAATGTTGCTCCAGGGACCTGTACTGTCAGGCAATCTGTGCCGCTCCGCGCAACCTGACTCAGGTTCAGCTGCCGGGGTATCTAATAAGCATTCTCGCTGAGAGCCGGTGAGAAAAGTCACTCTGGACTCGCAGACTTCTCTGTTTGCCTCGATTTCTTGCCCTTAACTGTTATTTAGGTTATCCTTATGCGATCTGACTGATTAACCTGCAGTTTTTCTTGCTTTAGGCTGGTTTGATGAGACAGAAGGGCTGGACTTAATGCAGTATGTTCACTACGATATGAGTCCACACACGTGGGCGCAAAATGAATTTATTAGCCACTCTAGCGTGGCCGTGACTGTTGCCACAAACACCCAAATGTAAACACACACGCAGACACACACGTTTAACAGCGCTGCATTTTTTTGACACAACATTAACGCCTTGCATCAGTGGCCTATGAAATTTACCAATTACCTCCAAAGTTTGCTGCGACTTTGATCGTTTTCTCCTTGTGTGTGAAGCAAATGCGTTTATGCGCTACATGACTAGAATAGTTGAGTTTTTAAAGTGGGGTTTATTTTAGGTTTCACTCCGGACATACAGGTCATTCTCAATAGGGAAAAAGTTGATAATAAATGAATTCAAGATGTGAAATGCATTTATAGATTAATTACACTATATACATTTTAAAGAATTAAGCCTAATTTTGAGGAAGGAAAATATAAACACAGCATTGACACTTTCTTTATTAACGAAGATGGTTGATATGTTAAAGTTCTGTATCCTAGTTAATGTAAAGTTAACGGCCAAAAGTACCACAACTTGGTTTGAGCACTGTGGTATAGCTTCACCATTTAAGCTATTAAAGGAGAGCGAGAAGAAGGCTTCTATCAAAGTACTGTTAAGATTCACTTCCAAAGAATTTCAGTCAGGTTTGAAGTTTCTCCTTGACTTTTATACCACATCCAAAATACTTAGGTCATCCTGAGCTATCTCTATAGTTCTGCTGCTATATGCTTAGACTGCTGGAAGACATAGGGACCCCTTTTTCATCATTCTATCTCTATTCTACCACTCTGCAGAATCTGTTAGTTCAATCTCTAACGTTCTGCTCTCTCTGCTTTTTCTCATAGTAGCTTCATCTGGTCTGTTCCTGTTTGGCTGTGACTCCATCCTGGAGAAAAATATCAGCTGTGCTGCTGCCATCAACACCTTTGTTTCTAGATGTTGGAGCTTGGCCTGTTTTCCAGTGTAGTCCTGTTTCTCTGACTGTGACTAACTGGATGTGCTCTCTTCATCCTCTGACATGGGAGCTGGCTCGGAGCTCGTCTGCCTGGCTGTGTGTTTCCTGGACGGGGCCGCCTGTGGAGCTGGTTGACGGTTGCCTTTTGTATCTATGCTTCTTTTTCTATGTCTGCTTCTGTCTCCTTGAACCCCAGTGGGCCTCAGCAGATGGCCGCTCACACTGAGCCTGGTTCTGCTGGAGGTTTCTTCCTGTTCAAAGGGAGTTTTTCCTCTCCACTGTCGCTACAAGCATGCTTAGTGTGAGGGATTGCTGAAGAGTCAATGAGTCGATGCAATCAGCTGGTTTTCCTCAGCAATCTGACTGCATTGCCTGGTTGAATTGTCTCGGTAAGGTGCCTTGAAAACTTATGTTGTGTTTCCAGCTCATGAGTGGCTTTGCATGAGGAATGTGATGGTTGTACCCAGAGCCATTGGCTAGGAGTGTTCTGCCAGCAGATGACCAAAGCAGCTAGGTTGATAGGGGGTCTCATGGTTTGGCCCATTCAATATCTGAATGTCTTTGGTAATTATTCAGTTTAATTCAGTTTATTTATAAAGCGCCAATTCACAGAAAACAAGGAAACAGTTCAGTCAGACTGGTTAATGAAAACCAGTTGCCTGCATCCAGTCATTGTTTGCAAGACATGTTCCTCCTGAATGAGCAACAATTTTTGCTTACATAAATACATTAACTATTAAGAAAAAGCTTACCTATTGAGAGTATGAACTCCATACTATAGCTCCGTTATCAGCCACGTGAATTTATTTATTTATTTTTTAATCTTTTGTTCACATGATAAAAGACAAATAGAGCAGCCTAAATATAATTTTCTACTGTCGTGCTCTGCTAACGTCTGCCGCTATTCTAGTGTTAGCGGCTAACCTCTTATGCGCGATGCTTTGCGGTTGTGGTTTCTGAAATGTTGCTGATGTAGCCAATGGACTTGTCAGAACTCTCCAATTCAATGTCTCTGGTTGTAGCCATGGCAGGTATTAATGCACACCTTCTGATTTCCTACCAATCTTTTGAATGTGTCAAACATTTTCATCAATTAAAAGTGGCATTAATTATACATTTTCACACTAATGTAAACATAGGAAGAAGTCATCCCAAAAAAATATCCTAGTAAGAGTAAAGGAGTCGTAGTATTTGCCTGATGAACATCAGAAGTGATGTTATCAGATATTTGTGCTCAAATTTCGGTATTTGAAATTTAAATCAATCTTTCAGTAGATCTTCCAGCTCTAATGTTTACTGTGCTTTCACCTGATCTCTGAAAAGCTGAAATTACTGATGGTGGGTAGAGCAACACGAAAAATTTACTAAAGTAAACACTGGAATATTACTCAATTAAAAGTAAATGAAACAGAGTAACTATGACTAGTTACTACCTACCTCTGAAAAGCGGCGTCAAGTACCAAAGTAAACAACATATAGTATATATCTATATACTATACATGGCATATAGTGTACTGGATGTTTTATATTGTGTTTAGCTATTGATTCTGTATATATTAAATTTGTCTGCAGCATCAACACCAGGTCACACTCCTTGTAAGCGAATAAACTTGATTCTGATTCTGAAATACAAAAACTTTTTTACTTTACTTAGGTTTAAATTTAGACCATCTTTAATTTACTGAAGTCATTTTTTTTTTTTTACACATTTTTACCTCTTCTCCTTACATTTTAAAGATAGACTTGTTATTTTTGTTTCATTTGAGCTAATTTTCTTCATGGCCTGTTAGTGTTTAAAAATAATAAATAAAAATAAAAACTATCAAAATAGGGCTGCAACTAACGATTTATTTGCAAATCGATTAATCTGTCGATTCTTTTTTTGATTAAAGGATTAACAGCATTGAGAGACAGAAAGTTTCTTTAACTTAATGGTTAAAAATATATATATATATCTATATAACATATATAGATATAGATATCTATATCTATATATGTTATCTATCTATCTATAGATAGATAGATAGATAGATAGATAGATAGATAGATAGATAGATAGATAGAGAGATAGATAGATAGA